TATTCACGAAACATTCATTTCTGTACAACTAAATGTAAAATTTAAAAAATACTCCCTCTGTCCATCATAGATCTTCCCAATAGCCCTTTTTCTTTGTCCACAATAGATCTTCTCATTTCATTTTTTAACAAGTAAAATACCACAACTACCCCACTTACTTTATTTATTACACCTCACCCACCTCATTTAATACACTCCACCCATTTTTCATTAAGGGTATTATGGTAATAGAAATCATCCAATATAGCACCATTTACTATTATAAAATACATACATAGCACCCCCATCTCATTTCTTACCTTTTTAGCACCTCCAACGCCATTTCATTTTCTAATATTCCAATTTTAGCCTTTTTCAATTCATTTCTTATTTCTTTCCACATGTAATAAACTAAAAAACACATCCTTTTAGAGATCACTGTTTAGTAACGAACTTCTTGAATGGTTGTATTGTTTTTTTGCATATTTAAATCATATGGTATACAAATTCATCAACCCTCTTTTAAAAATTTAGCCATATTATGCAAATTTAACAATCTCAGTGATTCAAATTTACCCACATACTAGCACTGCCAAAGAATGGAAAAATAATAATTTTTCACCCCCACCGCAGTCAAAATTCCATGCCGTAAAAACTTTTTTACTATTCATTACACGCCCGCAAACATTATACGTTACACTGCACACACAAAAAAACCAACGTACACCGCACTAAAAACGAGAAACAGACTACACTGCCTTCTCAATATTACCCACCAAACAACTACAATAAAAAGCTCTCCACATATCAATGTAAAACACCCCCGACTTTACTAACATAACACATCAAGACAGTGAGCCACTACAAAAGCCCCCAAATTAACACACCGCAAATTTAAAGCATGTGAAAACCACCCAGACCCCAGAAATAAATGACAGTGTGTACCCAAGCCCCACCCCCAGTTTCCACATTTGTGCACACTCACACCACACACTGAAAACGTTACACACAACGGCCACAACCACATCTGAAGCTTGTCACACCATTACGAACATCTATAACGGCGGGGTTGGATACATTGCTTTCATACCGCATAAGTACATCGGCCTTCTAAGTAAAAAAAACCTGTATACCAAAGTAACTCTGCCCATACCAAAGTGTATCCAAATCTGTACCTCAAAACTAACTCTGACACACTGCAAGCTCACACTGCGAGCCAACCCAATATACCCATCCCAACAAATGAAGTGTGCCACTTCATTAAAGAAGCCAGGTACACTGCCCGCACCACAATTACAACCTCCCACACCCTAAACCACAACACAATTCCCACAACAATGCTAGCAATATGCCAGTTCACTTCAGTAGCCAAACACCCACGGCAGTGTAAAACGCGCCATAAGCACACGGCCATCATCTAAAAAAATCATGAAGAAAACCCAAACCATCAGAAACCCTGCCAAACACCATCTAACGAAAAACACATGATACAAACGTTGCACCAATGCAATATAAAACTACCATCAAGTCACACATAAACTATAACGCAAGCACCCATTCAGAAAAAATACCAACATCCAAAAACTCCAACGCCATAACTTGTTTGATCTGAACATGAAAAACCACAAGACTCTGTGTCTGACCGTTAAAAATCAGAAAACAAAAACCCCAAAAAAATCCACGCAGATAGCATACTACCAAACACCAAAACCACAATGCATACTTAAAAACCATGTCCAAAGCTAACAACACGCCAATAAATAAAATCATGTGATTTCTAGGTGTCTTTCGCTTGCTCTTTCCGTTCATTACTGTACACAATGAGCTCTGTAGTCATCTTCACANGCAAACTTCAGCATGAACATTCCACAGTTGCACCTGCATTGTTTAAACACAATCGTCAACGCTAATAATCACCCGAATATTGTCAACTAATTGAAATTTAAATGAAGTCGCTCTACACAATCTGTAAAATTACGACATACCCGTCATTTTGTTGGGGACACCCGTCGATGACTTTGATGGAGAACTTCCGTTCCCCCATGGGCCCATCAGAGTGCTCGTCATATACACTCAATGAATCAAGTAGGACCGGCAGCAACACTGCACATATTTATTCAATGACCGGAAAACTTTTCCCTTTTTCCCATTCGAATCATAAACCCGTATAGTCCTCCCTTCAACTTCTAGGACGAGCAAAACCCAGTGGTCACCTGTATTTAATGGCATATATACAAAATCACACTCAGCCCATGGCCAAATTCTCGAGCCAATCCCTTCACCTCAGATGTTAGATTCAGACTGGTCATTACATCCTCCTTCTTGGCCTTGCCAACATTCACCAATTCTTGATGATTATACAACCCAGAAACAAAAAAACCCAAACTCTGAATTATAAAGTTCGCACTCAGGTCACAAACATTTCAAAACTGCACACACTGCCACTACGTTACCCCAACTAACTAAAATCCTAATGCACCTCCACAACATAAAAAAACCCCAACGCAAACATATGCCATACAAAACGCCCACAAACCCTGGCGTCCATGAAAAAACACACTACATTCACTGCACTGCTACGGCCCCCTCACATTGCTCACCCGTAGCCCATACAATGCTAGAATCCTTCTTCAAAACCATTCTACTGTCACAATACTAAGCAAACCACCTTTATCTGGCTTTTGCGCGTCCTATACAATGCAGACACCAAACATTAGAACATCACAACAAACTGCCCCAATTGTTAACAAATGATAAGCAGGAAATTAAAAATCATAATACAGAAAGGTAGATGTCTACAAAACAACACACAAAGACCTACTGCCAAATGCTGGTTATGCTTTGGCCAATCAAAAAATCATTAAATAAATGAACACACACTGCCACATCTGAAGACCACATCATAGAAATTAATAAGAAAACACGCAGTATTCTTAGAGATCCCAAAAACCCCGTAGCTCCCAAAAAACAAAACTCCCAATGCCACTCATATTCAAATACCATTCAGCCACACCACCATAAAGCTATGTGAACTCAAACAATATTGTAATGTGACCACTAAAAGTAACTTCCAATGCCAGATACCAAGAAAAACCACAGTGCCAAACTAAACATTGAATCAGAACAACTCCCTATGCTTCCACATCGGACCACACATCCCAAAAAAACCCATTCCTCTCAATGCACCAAAACACTTCCGCATAACCCCACACACTTCCACACTCCCTACAAAAACCTTATGAACATACGTAAAGGTAATTGTCATGAAAAGGGCTCACCCCAAACCATGTACCACACAATCCATATGCAACCAACATAGTGGAACTGGCAGGCAGGTAAAAAAAATTGGATCTAAAACATATCCATTTGCAATGTCAGGATCACAGCCACCTCAAGCAATTAAATAAAACTCCCAATTCCATTTACAAGAACTAGACACGTCAAAACTATAAAAAATGAGAATGCAAAACACACACTCAACTGAAAATCAAGACTATCCTCATACTCAATTTAATGACAAAAGGCGTACTAATCAGGAAAAGGAAACCCCAACAGATAAGCCACACACTGCAACATGCAACAAAAATTAGGTTAGGGGCAAGTAATTCAAGGCAGTTGTTCATCAAATCCACAATGACAAAAATCAACACCACTGCATGTCACAAAGCCTAAAAAAACTGCTCTTCAAACATGTTCAACAACATCTCCAAAATAGAAATATGCCATTGCACAACACATGTCGTATCTCAAACCCAAAACCCCCAAAATTTAAAATAAAAATCAAAACCCAAGCACAATCAGCTTTTGAAAACTGAAACACGACCATGCATACTTCCAAAAATCAATCTTGAACAACCTTTAGTAAAATACACGCACTGATAAATACCTGAACCTTCTCCATTCGCCTAATCAGCGGAATATCATCCAAAGCATCCTCCGCTGACAATGCTTATCCTCCACTGTTCACAGCTTCTTCAATCGCCATTGCAATTCTCGCACTGCGTCTTCTCACCGGATGAGATCTATCAGGGTTCGCAAGCTCTGTAGTCTTCATGTTATTTAGTTTATAAATCTAGCAATGAGAAACAGCCGCCTGAATCTTCGACCACAATTATCGGGAAGCATCCAACAAACAATGATAGCGAACAAGACGCCTGAATAGCCGTCCTCAAGAATCGGGAAATACTCACTGCCAGGATCAAATCATGTAGCCACCAACTTTAATACCTCAGGGACAAAACCGGAAATTAACATCTTAAACAGTACTAGTGCTAAATAAGTATGTAATCCTATACAGTAGTGCCATTTCAGTGCTTAACCCTTATGGTAAACTTTCACCTTTTTTCAACTCTTCTTAAAAACCACCAAAAGTCAAAATGAGCACATCTTAGGCGGACGGAGGGAGTACATTGATTATAAATAATTTATGAATTATTTAAAACTTAAAAAAATCTTTTAAATTTCAAATCAAATACACATCTTTAATTATAAAAACCATTTTGGGAAAACACTTCATTATAAATGATTATTTTAAGAATTAATTCTAAATTTAGAGGATAAAAATACCCTCAATTAATCCTTATTTGAGTAATATTATTTACGAAGGACCATCTTGGGAATAAATCTCAATTACAGAGGACCATGTATATAATTAAAACTTATTGAGGACTGATTTGGGAAAATACCTTATTACAAAGGACTATTTTGGGAATAAATCTCAATTATAGAGGACTACATAGGTAATTAAAACTTATTGAGGACTAATTCAAGAAAATCCCTTATTACAAAGGACTATTTTGGGAATTTACTCTTTATTTTATTGGATCTATATATAGACAAAAGAGGAATGCTAGGGGTACCCCATTTGGGGTACCCCATTTTGTATACCATGCATCCTAGCCCTTCATTTATTTTTTTATTTTTAATTTTTTTTCTCTCTTGCTTTGTGTGGTGGAGATGGAGGGGGTACAAATGGGGTACCCTAGCATTTTTGTAGACAAAATTACACAATATCTAGGTTATACAAACATCCAAATTTCTTGCTTCTTTTCCTATCACTTCATCATCATATATACTACGTATATGATAGCATACTAAATTCTCATCTTATTGTCATTTGTCAACCATCTGAATTGAATACAAATCATAATTGCATGCATCTTCAAGAAAACACAAATGCTAATCCAAATTAAGGAAGTAGCATGCATACAAACTATGATTGGGATGATAATAGAAATAACTATGGGAAAATCAAACCAAATCAAAAGCTAAGCCAACCCTTCATTCTCTCTAGAAACTTCTTCAAGAGATTTCCCCTTTGATTCTGGAACCAAGAACGTGAACATCATCCCCATGAGGTTCACCACCCCCAACACAATGAGTGAGTTCCTCACCCCTATCCCCGCCGGATACCCCGCGTCCGCCTTCGCCTTGTCCCGCGGCTGCGCCAGGTACAGGAACCCGAACGCGCCCACCATGGCCCCCAGCTTCCCGGACGCGGCCGAGATCCCGTGGCACGTGGACCTCAGCCTCGCCGGGAAGATCTCCGCGGGGACCACGAACGTCGTCGCGTTCGGCCCGAAGTTGGCGAAGAAGAATGTCAGCGAGTAGAGGACCACGAAGCCGATGTGGTGCCCGGGGTGGGTCCAGTGGTCGTAGGGTATGGCCAGGGCAAACATGAAGGCCGTCATCATGAAGAACCCCATAAGCTGTATGGCAAATCTCCCCATTTTGTCGATCAGTAAGACTGTGAACCAGTACCCTGGAACTGTGCTCATTAGGGCTATTAGGGTTTGTGCCTTGGCGATCTTGAACACTTCCTGGGTGGCGCTCATCGTCTTCGCCGCCGGGATCCACCCCACCGCACTGAAGATGTCCTTCTGGAACAGGTTCTGGCTGTAGTACGCTATGTCCAGCAAGAACCACGTCGTCGTCGTCCCGAGCAGGTGGAGCCCGTGGCGCCGGCCGAATTCCTTCGAGAACAGCCCAAACGTGTCGGCGGTTTTCGGCTGCTGCCCGGGGTCCACCTGCCCGACCATTTCCTTTCCCTCCGCCTCGAGGTCCACCTGCATCACCTTCGACATGTCCGCCGTCGCCTGCTTCACGTTGTTGGCGACCAGCGCGGTGTACCGCGCGGTCTCCGGCATCTTGGTCCTCCAGTACCAGGTCAGGAGGGCGGGGAGCGCCCCCGCCATGAGGATGATCCTCCAGACGTAGTCTGCCTGGGGGACGGTCGACCCCACGGGGTCGACCTCGTAGGGCGGGGCGTGGTAACTCGCCTCGAAAGCGGCGGAGACGAGGATCGCGAAGATCCCGCCTGCCAGGATCCCGAAGCCCTGCATGGCGAAGACGGCGGCGATGAACGCGCCGCGGGTCTTCTTGTTGGCGTACTCCGACATGATGGTGGCGGAGAGGGGGTAGTCTCCCCCGATCCCGAACCCGAGCCAGAACCGGAAGAAGCACAACGTGGCCATGACAGAGCTCGGGCTCCGCCCGAACGACAGCCCGGAGGCGACCGAGCACCCGCACATGAGCATCAGCGTGATCCCGTACACCTTCTTCCGCCCGAGCCGGTCCCCGAGCCAGCCGAAGAAGAGTTGCCCGGCGAGGGTCCCGCAGAAGGCGACGCCGTTGACAGCGGACGCCACGTTGGGCGGGAGGCTGCCGGGCTTGGGGGAGCCGGGGACGTGGTAGTAAATCCGGCCGAGCAGTTTGGTGACGAGGGAGATGCAGAAGAGATCGTAGGCGTCGGTGAAGAACCCCATTCCGGCGATAATGATCGCCGTGAAGTGGTACCATTGCGTCTTGGCCTGATCAAGCGCGTTCAACACTTTCATTTCCCCTATCGCCATTCTCTATATATTATTAGGACAATTATTTTTTGTCAAGAAATGAATTAAAAAAGAAGAAAGGAAATTTGAAGAAGATCAAATCTCAAAGAACAATTCTTATTGATCTGTGAGTGTTGATCGAGATGTAGTGGAGACGCTAGGAGTACGGAGTGTGTAAATAATTAAACAAATTTGAGAGAGGTAAATAAGTTAATTAATTACTGAACTGTTTAATTATATATACATGCAACAAAAAAGGATCTACTTGAGCATATTCACCTGATTATGCTCTTTTAAAATATAAAAAACACCATAATTTTGGAATTATAATTGGTATTGGATTAAACATCCATAAAACTCGTGGGATTAGTGGGATAATAATAATGGAATAATTATCTCGACCTCGTTTCCTATTTGACCGGGGAAAATAAAACTTAAATTTACTATTTTTTTTAAAATAAATTACATCCCCATTTCAGAATATTTGTCATGTTAAAAACATGGAGCATGTAGGGGTAGACCAAAATATATGGGAGACCTATTTATACTACATACACCAGAAGCAACATTATATGTCAATATTTTAGATATTGGAGTCTGATATTTATATACGTATAAACGAAAGAATAAATGACTAGAGTATAATTTGAAAATAAAAATGACAAGAAAATGTAAAATTATACAAAGTAGAAAATATTTTAGAGATTTTTTCTTTAATTATTTGAATATTTGATTGAAATAAATTTATTATTTTTTATTTTACATTGATTTAAAAAAACTAACTCGCTGCCCCTAAAATGGTGGTCACAATACAACTACAATCGAGAGAGTATGTATACCGTTAGAAAGAATCAAGCGATTATTCAAAACTGGGGACGATTCCCATGACACTGCCCGGGTCGGGGTGGGGTATGAACCGTCGATTTTACGAACGGGACACCGGAGCGCCCCCAGGTCATTTTATGACATGAGATTCCAATGTCATGAGAACCTCATCCTTCAAAGTTTATACTCCCTCCGTCCCAAAAAGAATGTTACATTTCATTTTTTTGCGCATCACTTTTGACTTTTGGAACTGTTCATCTAAGCACTTTGACTCATCAAATTCTCTCAATGTGTAAGCCTAAATATAGTCATGTGTGATCTTGTTTGATTTGTCTTCACATATAGATTATTAATATATAATTTCTATAATTTTTTAATACACAAATTACAAGATAAAATGGATTAAAAAAGTGCATTGAATGGTGTGCCAAAAGGTAAGTGGACAAAGACAGTGGGACGGAAGGAGTAATATTTACTCTTTATTATAAGATGAAATTGTTTTGAAAGTTTTTTTGGCATTTGAGACGATATAAAAGTGTTTTAAAAGATGCGCAAAAAATAAAATGTAACATTCTTTTTGGGACGGATGGAGTATATATTAAAAATACTACAAATACTCTATCGATTGGAAACTTTTTTTGAGGCACAATATATTGGATATTTAGTTCAATAGCAACAACAAAGCGATTTTAGTGATTTTAATGTCATAACGATTTTCTGTGACGTGTTTAGGGGTTAAAAAAATACACGCTAATTCAATGATGTTACGAAACCATTAGTCCGAACTCCGAAGTGACAAATTGATTTTGGACAAGCTTTAACAAAATCATTTAAATTTTCATAAGCGGAATTTAAGGTAAGTAACATTCAAATGTGTAATGATAGCCACTAACATCTTCCCCAAATAAGTCTATCATAGTTATAGTACCCATACACAAAATAATTACAAACAATTCCCACCACCCCAAACTAAACTTTCCACTTGCATTTTGCCAAAGTCAAAGAAAAAGTGAGATTGCACCACCATTCATATTAATGTTGAGGTAAAAGAAAGAGTCTGAACCTCACAATGTTTTTTTCTTAATTAGATTAGAAGTGGAAAGTTTGTTTGAGGAGAGATGAAATACTGCATTTCTACTTCATATCATATTTCCAAGACTTGTGTTTCTACTCTCTATCATATTTCCAAGACTTGTGTTTCTACTCTCTATCATATTTTCAAGACTTGTGCTCATAAATAAAGTTAGAAGAAGAAGGAATGCCTCTAATGTGAATAGCCTCCTCCACATTCAAAAAGTTGTGTTTGCCTCTACAGTGATTGGCCTTCTTCATCAGGATTCAAACGCGCTCTTTTCTTCTTCAGCTGCTCGAGAATCTGGCGAGCTTTTTGAAGTTTGTTTTCTTCATTTGAACCCTTCCCTTCCAAAGCTTCTACAACTTTCTTCTGGAAGTCAATTGCAAGTTCATAGCTGCAAAAAGATCCATCACTACATTGGTTAATGGCGGCGAAGACTTTTCTGTGTATAGGCAGGAAGTTGTGAATCTATAGAGGAAATTGCAGCAGCATCTTTTTTGAAAGTTGAAAGATTGTTTAAGTGACAGATGTTACAAGTGTTTTTTTTTTCATGTCAAAAATCTTGTATCCATTGCTTTCTTGTGCGTTTAACATGACTTATTTTCAAGGAATAAGATAACTGCATATTAGAGATACAAAAGCAATTAGCAGTAAAAACCCGCATGCGATACTTGTTCGAGAAGGGACCAGCTTGATGTTCTTCACTTCAACAGTTGACGTAAATTAAGATAACGCATGATAAAAGCACTTATTCACTTTGTATAAGCACAAACCTGTGATTTTAAAGCTTTGGGTAAACTGTGAAATAAATTAAGACAACAGATTAAAATTCTATTGCTTCATACAGTCTATGAAGTTATTGGTGCAGCAATCGTCAACAATCTAAAAAAACAACCCTGTTTTTTTTAATTATAAAAGATATTGCTTTGATTTGCTTTTTTCATTGCCTTGCCAAAGACTTCTTTTCAAAGTAATACTACTTTCCTTTCTATCACAAGTCATTTACACTATGTTTGGTTCAAAGATTTGGAAAGGAAAAGAAAAGAAATTGATTTTCTCTCATTTTCCTCACCAAAATGGGAGGAATTTGGTTTTCCTCCACTTAGTACATTTGTCTTCTCATTTTCTTTTTCTTAGCAGTTTTCCCCCCAACCAAACTTGAAAAACTGTTTTCCAGTTCATTTTCTTTTCTTTTCCCTTTCAAATTCCTTGAACCAAACATGGTGTTAGTCTTCGACAATGTGTAACCCCGGATGCACCCTTCCACCCCCAAACCCGTTGCGATACCAAAACAATTACCTTCTTCGAGAGAATAACGATGAAAAAGAAGTAATCCACATAAATTAAACAAAGCACAGAAGCATAAGAGAGTGTGCCGTGAATGAAGCGATGATTAAATGTATCAAAAGAGAGCATAAATATACCTTCCCATAGCAGCATATGCTTTTGAAAGGTTTTGATTAGCCTTTATTGAATGAGCATGGTGAGGGCCAAGAGAGGCATCAAATATATCCTTAGCATCTGCAGAAACCTTTGCAGCAGATTGAGGCCTATCTAGTTCCAAGTAAGCAGTGCCTAAACTTTTGTAAGCACAACCCACAGTGAAATTATTCGACCCATAGCTCTCTTTAAGCCATTTGACTGCATCCTCCAAATAAGGAACTGCCTGCTCTGCTTTCCCTGTTGCCAGAAGGATCTCCCCAATACTACAAGAAACAGTACCAGCATAATTCAGTGCATCGGGCATCTTCTCAAACATTCGCAAAGTTTTGTTGAACACAGATAGCGCATCTTCAAGCGCATTCATTGCCTGATACATCATCCCAATTTCCATGTAAGTTGCCGCAACCTCATAGGGAAAGCTACTATCGTCCTTGCCAAGAACCTCACAAGCAGTATCAAGACACTTTTTCGCTTCTTCTAGCTTATTCTGGCCAGACAACGCATTTGAAATGGCAACATAGATCATGGCTCTAGCTCTGTTATCCTTATCAGTCAATGGAAGAATGCCCTTGAGGGCATTAATGGCCTCATCGTACCTTCCCAATTGAACCTGAGTTTTAGCAGCTTCAATTTCTATTTCGAGCAACTCTTCACCATGACCCAAATTCTTCAAAACCTTTAGTGACAGTTGATACTGTTCTAAAGCTTTATCAAGATCTTTTAACCCGCCGTATATAAGCCCAAGAACTTCTCTATCCTTTGCAACCTCAACAGAGTCATCCCCTAACAGTGCCTTGTGTATCTCTAGTGCCTTCATACAAAGCGGCAATGCCTCGCGGACTTTCAAAGCAGAAAAGTGTTCACTGGCAAGATTCCTATAATCGTTTCCAAGTTCAACACTACCCTCCCCCCAAATCATCTTTTTTAACTCCACACTCTTGATGAGATGAACCTGAGACTCCTCTCTCCTGCCCATGCCTCTTGTGGTGTAATACAGGTCAAGCTCCACAGCATGTTCAAGTTCAACAGACCCACTGTTCTCTAACTGTCCTAATACCAATTTGGCCCAATTGAGGTACCCTATGCTCTCATCAAACATCTCTAGAGCACTAGATACAGAACCCATCAAATGAAGGGCCATTGCAAGGGGCATTGACACACTGTCTTTGTCTTTATAGAAGGATTGCAAAGCCCTAGTGGCAAAAGGTAGGGCCTTTTCGTGTTTACCTTCTCTGTGTAGTTTCATACCCATCTGCAGGCCATCCATGCCGGCCTTCAACACATCTTCCGAGTAGGGGGGCGGGGTTTGAGTGCTGAACATCCTGGGCTTGTTGACATCGCGGGATAGAAAGGGTGGGGTTTGAGTAAAGTGTTTGAGATGGGTGTGAAATTGGGAGGCCGCGGCGGCGGATGCGGAGGAGGAGATGAGAGATGAGAGCGGGCGGCGGCGAAGGAGGAGCAGTGCGGAGGAAGAAGCTCTTCTCATGGCGGACACAATTTTGGGGGACCTCTGTGTGTCGTTGTTGAAAGCGGTGAAAAGAATTCAAGAAATACAATCAAGAAAGCAAGGCGCTATTTTTCAAGTAGCTAGACCATTGGATATAGATAAATTTGAGCCAATTTTTGATCAATTGTTTTTAGAATAATCTTAGAAATAAATAATCTTTGAACTTCAAAAGTGATTTACACTATATTTGTTTTTGTCCTCAAATCACTTTTGTTAATTGTTATTATTTCATTGATTATTTAAAAAAATAAAATATATTTTTCTTTGTATTTTGTTTAGTGGAACTTTTGAGTAGTTTACTTTTCAACTTTATTCATAATTTTTTTGATTTCATAGAAGCCTTTTTTAGGTACAAATGGAGTAATTTTTTGTTTTTCATTTTTTTCATTTTTGGTTGATGCAAATTTGCAATGTTTAAAAAATTTATGGAAAATAAATCCATATAAAAGCGGAGTGGTGGAGAGGGCACAGGGAAACTAAAATTGAAACCGTTGAAGGATTTTGCTTTTGTTAAATTGCTCTTGGAATAATCTTGAAAATAATTACTCTTTGCATCTCAAATTATTTACACTATTACAATACTATTTTAGTTTTCTGATAGTGAAATTTGCACTGAATAGGATTAAAACATAAGTCATTTTCCAATGTAAGACTTAAATTTTTTTATTCTCTAAATAGGACTTAATAATGACTAGTGAGAAGAATAATGTCCAAGTGATGTTAGATATTTAGTTGAATAATGACTAATAGTTAATGACCAATGGTCCTACATTGGGAAATAAAAACATATGATCCTATATTAAGAAAGACATTATGTTTTAATCCTATTTAGGTAAATTACCCTTTCTGATAATTTTAAATTTGTTAGTTTGTGTGTTTTTTTATTAGTCATTTCATAAAATTTAAATATATTCATTTGTAGAGCTTTTGATATAATTTTTAAATATGTAAGTTATACATTTTGTTTTCATACTAATTTATAAATAAAACTATTTTAAAAAAATTGAACTTTACACATTCTTCGAGAAAATGTAAATGAATTCGAGACTGAAAGAGGTTCATTCATCATTTATCATTTTTAGTCAAGCGAAAATGATAAACAAGTCTAACAAAACACAACAAAATACGTCTATTCAAATTCTTCTGTAATCTAAGTAAAAACAATCATACAAAATAACTGATGACACTAAAATCACCAGCATGGTCCAGTTTTTGAAAACCTCGATATATTTAAGGCTACAAAGTATATTTTGAATAGCTTTCCAACTCGATGACTGTGTCATAAGGAATATCCAACTTCATCTTGAGGTATTCCTTTCCGGCTGTTTCATTTGGCTAATTCTTGAAGCAGCCTTACTTCACTAATTAATTGAAAAATTGATTGAACCAGTGTTTAGAATCAATAAAAATATCTCGTGAGTGTTTTGATCCATTTGAACAATTAATTACGGAGTATATCTAAATGTTCTTCACTTAATTAGATCTAGAATGTTGTTTCAAATAATTAAACCTCCCCAGATTAGCTAATTCACTCTTCTTCTTAGTGCATCTTATTTTCAGATTTTTTCTTTACTTTTCAGCCTGAAGGTCTTATTTGTAAAACTAATTTCTTAATAATTTGGCTTTGCAGATTAATTGAAATTTTACTATTTGGTTTCCTTGACTTAGCAAAGATTGAAGAGTTGCTTTCGATTCCGAACGAACATGTTTACATGGGTTTCTTGTTTTTGCAAAAGCTGAAGAGAGAAAAAATCTAGAGATGAAGAAGAAGAAGATGAAGATGAAGAAAGAAGATTAAGTTCCTTAGCATGGGTCCAAGTGACTTTGGCGGAGTCCAAGGAACAGAGCCCCTAGCTGGGATTTTAACAAAATCATTCAGATTTTCATAAACAGAATTTAAAGTTAGCAACATTTGAACTTGTAAAATAATATGGAGTACGTAGTACGTACCAACATTCGAATGTAGTGATAACCACTGGCATCCTTTGCAAATAAGTCTATCATAGTTATAGTCCTATGCCATGCCCAAACTCCCACCGTTCCAAACTAAACTTTTCACTTTCATTTTTGCAAAGTCTAAGAAAAAGCGAGATCGATCACACTACTCGTACTAATGTAGAGGTAAAAGAAAGAGTGTGAACCGCACAATGTTTTTCTTAGATTTGAAGTGGAAAGTTTGTTTGGTAAGAGATGAAATACTGCATTTCTACTTCATATCATAATTCCAAGACTTGTCTGTCTAAGATAAGCTCATTAATTAAGTTAGAAAGAGAAGGAATGCCTCTAATGAGATTGGTCATCACATTCAAATATTGTCCCTAGTTGTGTTTTGCCTCATCTACAGTGCATGACTGGCCTTCTTCATCTCTAGCTGCTCAAGAACCTGACGAGCGTCTTCAAGTTGATCTTCTTCATCTGGACCCTTCCCTTCCAAAGCTTCAACAACTTTCTTTTGGAACTTAATGGCAAGTTCATAGCTGCAAAAAAGGATCCATCTCTACAATGGTTAATGGTTGTGTATTTCATCATCATCATATACACACACTTGAAAAGTTTTCTTTGTATAGGCATGAAGTTGTGAATCTTAAGAGGAAATTACAGCAGCATCTATTTGATAATATTTAAAGCTTGTGAAGACAAGTATTTAGCAGTAAAAAACTGATATCAACGTTTAAAACCCACATGCAATACTAGTTAGAGAAAATGACCAGTTTGGTGTTCTTCACTTTAAATTTTAAAAAAAAAGAGTTTAGTTGAAGTAAATTAAGATAATGCATGATAAGAGCACTTATTAATTCCGTTAAAGCTCATATTAAGTGTAGGGTGAACTATGAAATAAATTAAGATAACAGATTAAACTTCTTTCGCTTCCTACGAAGTACATTCTATGAAGTTATTGGTGCAGCAACCGCCAAAAATCTAAAAAAACACCCCTGTTTTTATGGGGTAAGAGTAGTGCTTTGGTTTGTTTTTTCATTTCCTGCAAAAAGTCACTTACACTATGTTTGGTTCAAGGAATTTGAAATGGAAAAGAAAAGAAAATGAGATGGAAAATAGTTTTTCTTGTTTGGATAGAGAGGAAAAGAAAAGAAAAGTGGAAGGAAAATGAAATGAGAAGACAAAATATATTAAGAGGAGGGAAAATCAAATTCCTTCCATGTAACGCCCCGAAACTCGGCTTAGTATTTTAATTAATTTTTAGAATTAATTAATTATTGGGCCGATCAATACGAAGATTATTTTCTAATTTGCATAATTAATATGGGGGTTGACCTACGTTGTACGACACGCTGTTCTGAACCCGACCGCGCAAATGGATTGAGAATCGGACTTACAGGGCCCAAGATACAACTGCCGAATGAGGTAATTGGGCCTAAATTTATCCTAACCAGTTAGGAAGTGTAAACTGGACCTTAAAATTTAATTAAATTTATATTAAATAGGGAGTGGGGGAGCTACGAGACTTAAGCACTTCGTCCGTTTCGCCTCTGTTCGCCGTCCGTCTGCCAGGGAGAGCCAGCAGCCGCAGCAACCGTCGAGAACATTCGCCGCTGTCGTCGCCGTCGACGCTAGGGATTCTGACCGACGTCCTCGCCTCGTCCCTCCGTCACGCGCAGCAGGCCGGCGAAACCAGGGAAGAGTTGCAGCGGCGAATTCACTCCGATTCAAGTTCAATTCGTCGTTTTTCGAGGTGATTTGTGGTTTCTATACCTTCTGTTAGCGTTAATTCGTAGATTAGAACTTCCTTAGCGTATAATCTTTCAATTTGAATGAGAATTGTGAATGTTGTGTTGAAATTATGAAATTTGTGTTGGGGGGGCTGTTTTCCGTCATCTCCTCCGGCGACCGCCGGCAACGGCGGCGGCGAGGTGGCCGGAATAGGGCAGCATCTAGATTTGGACAAATTGGATCCAATTGGAACTAATTGGGTCCAATTGGGTGCAATTGGGTC